GTACACAGGAGAACTGTCAAAACATTTTAACTATGTGGAGATTAATATAAGCGTGTGCATTATTTTTTTCCCTTGAGCTAAATCAACATTATGTAGTATTAACAGCAGGGGTACCCTTAAAATGACTTGAATTGTCTTTGCAGCACTTGCTCTTGGCTCCCTCTGATGTGGCCGGCTGGGGCACTTTCATCAAAGAACCTGTCCAGAAAAACGAGTTTATATCCGAGTACTGTGGAGAGGTATGTCTGCATCTGTTGTTTATTTATTTCTCTCTTTTTTGTATGTATGATTTATTAAGTCAAAATTATATATATGCTTATCAATTATATGTACTATATCATGCATTGTTTTTTTGCCATCTGCTGCTGTATTGATGTAAACAATACAAATGCATATATTATGGTAAATCAGTTTTTAAATTAATAACTGTCTCTTCCTGTTAAATTCAATGAAACATAGAAAAACCATTACCACAATAAGGAGCCTAAGGCTCCAATATCCATGCAATAGCTGGCAAAAATCGTGCATTCTTATATTTAAAAACATTTTAATTTCCTAGTTCTGCCCCAGTTATATTTTTGACTGAGTTTGCTGTTTACAGCTCATCTCCCAGGACGAGGCAGACCGGCGTGGGCGGATCTATGACAAATACATGTCCAGTTTCCTTTTCAACCTGAACAATGGCAAGTTCTCTCTGCCTCTCCCCAGCCTGCAGCCTGTGATACAGCTGCTGTCATTTACACCTGTCCTAATCTCTGTGATTTTCTTAGTAGACTTTGTTGTTGATGCCACTCGCAAAGGCAACAAAATCCGCTTTGCCAACCATTCGGTCAACCCTAACTGTTACGCAAAAGGTATGACAATGTTTTATGTAAGTGGACTGTAGATTTGTTTAGGTTTTTGGACTAATATTATACTATTTTTCTTATACATCAGTGGTGATGGTGAATGGGGATCACCGGATAGGGATCTTTGCCAAACGAGCGATATTGCAAGGAGAGGAGCTCTTCTTTGACTACAGGTAAAATCCATAGGTATAAACTGTTTTGCTCTTGTGCTAGTGTAACTGGTGGCACTTTCTTGCATCCATGTGTTGAGATCATTCTGATATCATACTGTGGAACATTGTAGATAAAGCAACAACATTAAGTTACTTAAAGGTATGTTGTGTAACTTTTCTGGTGGAGGGGCTATCACCTGCTTTGTTTCTATGGAAATGTCACTGCTCTGCCTGGAATGGTCCAAGGTGTGACATTAAACAGCTCTATCTTATATTTATTAAGTTGCAGGTGGTTTTATAGCTCAAAAATACCTAGAAAAACAGGTATTTTGACTGTGAGCGGGGTTGCCTCTCCACAGACCTGTCCTGTAACTTGGTCTGGGTTGGTCACCATGAAGATAGAAAGGTTTAATACTGTAAAACATCCCAGACAAGGCAATAACAGCTTCATGGAGAAAAGCATTTGAAGGTCAGTCCACCAGAAAAGTTACACAATGCTACCTTTAATGTACTTTTGAGTTGCATGGTGATTCACCAGGTTATTACGTCAGATGCCCTTCCTGTCACAGTGACAAAAGTACAGTGTGTACCAGGTTCTAAAAATAGTCTTCTCAAAAACGTGATTGTCTTGACAAACTGGGACATGTACTATAGTTACATAATATGTATTCATAACATATGTCATTATGTTAAAACTATTATTTATAAACTGCATTAAATAAAACTTGCATTCCCATTGTAAGGTGGGGATGTTTTCTCTATAATTTTCATTTGTTGAAACTGTGTTTACATTGCCCTTTGCAGGAATTATTAGTTGTTTGTCCTCTATAACTGTATAGCTGGAGGATATTATTGGCTTGCTACTTATAAAACATAATTAAGATATATGGTCACTGTTGGGAAGTAACTGAATACATGTACCAAAAATGTGTATCCACATGAATACACATTTTGAGTAACTGTATTCAGTACAGTTACTCTTGCATTTATTGGTGTTCAGAATACAATTCGTTTCCTAAAATCTAAAGGCCACCACATACTATATAAGAATTTGCCAGATTTAGGCTATGATTTGCTTCTCCCCAAGTTCGGGAGGCATGACACGACTCTGTGCGACTCTGAGCTGCTCTGTCAGATCTTAACCACCAAACATCATCCAATAAATACAGCATCAGGGGCAGACGGAGCAACACAGAGGCACAGGATACAAATTCAGTAAATAGTGAAAATTATTACTCACCTCTAGGAAAGTTATAAAGTTAAACTGCAGCATCTCATACACGTTATTCATAGAATTTGTCCTCCATCAATAATGACGCCCAGTCCACAAAACAGCACGCTTAATCCAATTTGAAGCGTTCTTTAAAAGTAAAAAGGTGAGAGTAATTCCTCACGTGTGTATGTTTACATCCACACAGCGCATGGATCGAGGTGAAGCTGCAGATTAGCAAATGTGACTCTACTTCCTGTGGACTGTATCGCCAACCTTCTGTGCTTTAAAAATCATGTATCTGAAGTATTGCATTGCACATTTCACAAATAATAACAACACAGTTTTGACTTGCATCTAAAGTAGAAGTGCAGTGCTCTGATCTTTGAACACCTAAGAGTCTCAAAGCGAGTCGTTTTACTCTACATAGGCTGATGGAATCGCGCTCACAACCTTTTTACACAGCCATATCCCCTCATCAGTCTTTGCGATCAGAGATTTAAAAACCCATCAGCTTCTCCTCTTGTCTGTGGTGTGGGCTTTTTGTTGCACATTTAAAAATCGTTTAAGACCGAAAAATCCTGTAGCGTGTAGCGACCTTAAGGAATACAATACAGTTACAAAATACATTTTAATGCAAGTATTCAGTATTCTGCAACTAAATACATTTTCAAAGTATTCTCCCCTTTACTGCATATGGCACACTGCTAATAATATTTTCACCTTATTCTTCTCTTTCACAGATATAGTCAAGCAGATGCCCTTAAATACGTTGGGATTGAACGAGAGGTAGAGATGACTTAGCCTGCTGTCTCTGTCCATAACTTTTCATCTGCCCATCCCACCGTCGCCCCTGCAGTGTCACACATGGCCAGCAGGGGTCTGCGCCCTAACCAGACCCCCCCACCCTCCCCTCTCACTGCTGCATTTCCAAAAATAGCCCACATCCCTCCCTGGTGTATTGCAGGTGCCTGTTCATTGGAGCTCTCCATTTTGTGACAACCCAAGCTACAGTACTGTAAGCAAGCTTATCCAACATTGTAAGCTAAAAAAATACTATCTATCTGTATGGTTCTAATGCACTAAAGAATATACAATGTTATTTTTATCTGTTGAAAAAAGAAGACATTTTAGACTGGCTTTGGTTTTTTTTGTCAGTGCAAGTAATAATACAGCAATGCATGTGCTCTCTTCTCCCATAGTTACTAAGGCTTTTCTCCGGCGCTCTGTAGTCGTTAATGTGATGTTAACTTAAAGTGGAACGCAACAAACTCCATTTCTTTTGCAGCAGCGCCAACACTGTCTACAGTATATGCTAAAATAAGCTAACGTGCATCTATATATCTTCAAAAAAGGCAAACAAGAACCGACTGACTGAATGTAACCATAGAGGATGGAGAAAACAAGAGGTGAGAATCTGAAGACTTAAAGTGGCATTATACATAAACAACGTCTCCCGCTTAGAAAATGCAGAAATTGTACGTTTTGATTTAATTTTGAGCCAGATGCCCTTCCTTACATGACAAGTACACTTTTGTATCCCAACTAAACTATGACCATTTCAAAAAGAAGAATGTGGTGAACTGATAATGACTTTACTTCCTGGCAGTCCTAAAATTGCCCTGCTATTAAAAAGCCCAATGATATAATGACTGGAAGCTCTTTTACAGCTATTGATTATTTTTAAAAATCAATGCTGAATAGCTTCAGCAATTTTTAGATGTATTTTATAATTTATTTATTTTACTTTTGGATGATAGTTATCCAGGCATATACATGAAAAAATATATTAAACTAGTGTGACTAGCAAAAAAAAAAAAATGCATTTCTTCATTTGTAATGTTTTACTGTGATCTCACATTGAACTCTATAGCACTTACTGCAATTGCACTTAGCCCAATTTTGCACTGACTGAATCCTGTCTGTAATATATTGTTTGTAAAAGAGAAATTTGATATTGTATTATGTCACTTTAAGCCTTTAGATTCTGCCTCTCCTGGTCAATGATCTCATTCCTGTTTTGATTTCAAAAGTTAACCTATTGTATTGGTACATTGTATCTAGCACTTAAAATGTTTACATTATGTTAGGCCTTAGAGGCATGTAACAAATGAATTAACCTGTTGTCTTCCTATGAAATTAAAATGAAGTGCCAAAATTCATCCACAGAAAAACAGCTGTTACTTGTGGATATGTTTCATCATTGACAGATTTAAGAGGTTTTAACAGAATATCAAATCAAATCTATCTGTTTCTGACCAAAAATAATTCCCCCTATGTGAATGTAACATACCATAAAAATATTGTTACTGAAGTCATTTTTTATTTAAAACACGCATTGAACTGAGATCTTTAAATGGACATGATCAAATGGAGTTTACTGTTATATACAGCGTATGCCTACAAAATAAAAGTCTAACTTTATACATTAAACTGTGTGTTAGTCATATCCTTTCCATTTTTCTGTCAGCAGTCACCAAAGAAATCCAACTGTCTCCTTGCATTTATAAGTAAAGATATTAATTGTAAGGGTTAAAAGTTCTATATTACGTGAAATTGACTCTTGTGAGCTATGAGCCACATCAGGTTGAAGTATGGACCTGGAGTACCTTGTTTTGTTTCATTCACACATGTTTGAGTAATCCTGGTTTGTTAGCCTGTCTGCATCTCCAAAACTCAAAATATTCTGTTCCTTCCAACTTGTGATGAAGTTTTCAAGTTAACAGCTACCGTTTACCTTTAGTTCATTAGAGATTGGTAATTCCATGCCTGAAATTATTCAAATGAGTCTAATAAAGGTGTATGGAGTTTAAAAGCACAGTGGAGCACTTCCTGTATTCCTGCATGAGTGTTTTCAGTCTAAGTATGTAGGGTTTGTGTGTTAAAACATGTGTGAATGAAACAAAACTATGTATGTTTTTGATGATATGCATTATAATAGATCAGGAAATAGCATTTTGGTTTTCACTTAGACAATGTAATTATGCCCAAGACAGTTCTTTTGTATATTTAATTATTTAGATGCCCTACAAAGCCTTTATGAGGACCGCCATTTTTTCCATGTAATTGAGAAAAAAACAAGCAATTTTTGTTTTTCTTCAAGCTTCTTTTATTCAGGTGACATGTTGGGATTTCCACAGTAATGGTCATTTACAGTGCGGCTTTTCAAATAAAAATACCTAAAAGTAAATCAGTTAAAACACAGAAACTGTAGTCTGATGCCAGTTGAGCAAGATTTGACTTAATTAGTGCACAATTATCACAAATGTTTCTCCTTTAGGTGTTCACTGGTGATCTATGGCTGTCTTTAGACTCATATGGACTTTAACAGTACTAAGTGCACAGAGCAGCAGTGTTGTTTGTGAATAAAACTGATCATTAATGGTGAAGCAGTATAATTCTACTGAAGTCTCAATTAACACAACTTGCTGACTACTGCCCCTATTGGTGACTTCATAGTACTCACATTCTAGTTACATTTTCAAGAGTGGAAGATCACAGGTCTGACATGCAATAAATGACCAACCAAACAATTGCGTAGAGACAATATGATGGAATCAGTGCAAAAATACATTTAAAAATATGCATCTGTAACACTAGAGAATAACTCATAGATACTGAGCATTAATAAAGGACTCATTCAACCATAATTTGACTAAGATGAGATATTGAAGTCCATGATTTTATTTATATAAGTTATCCATAGGTCTAAGTGTAAAGAAAAATTAGGTTGATTAATGAATCAAAACAAAATAATCTATCATTTCATGGCAAAACTTTCTTAAAAAGCTGTGTTTTTTTAATATATTTTTGCCATGAAATAATAAAGGCTTTTACAATTTTTATAAATATGTAGAGTGCCCTGGCCTTTTTTTCGCTTTACAGTGATTTTGATCTCAAGTCTGAAGAGCATCAGGGTGAAACATATTTGAAAATTCACTCTTAGCTTTTTGTGAACACAATATTCTATCTTTGAAATGGTAAACGTGTGAAAAATTAATAAACCCAAACGAGCAGCAAAGTAACATTCCTAACTTAAAGATGCACTGTGTAACTTGTCTGATGGAGAGTCGGTCACCTACTTGTCTCCACGGAGACGTGCTTGTAATGCTCCACAGTATGGCTATAACTTCATGAATATGCAGGGAGTCTTGGAAGCCAAATTACAGGTTAGATTTGTGGAAAGGCAAGCTCACTCACCCGTAGTTGAGTAAATGCAAGACAGATTAGTTTAATATTATATAATGGGGACAATTTAAACCAAAGAATTAACATTTCCATGGAGACAAACAGGTCTCCAGAAAAGTTACACAGTGCATCTTTAACTTATACTAAATGTGTATTAATGATCTTTGATTTTTTCTTTGTGTTACTGATGCATATGACTATAGGGACAATAGGTGCAACTCTCTAGATAAAACAGCATTATATGACATTGGCTGAATGTTACAGGCTTAATTAGTGACTTGCATGTTACACAAACAATGATTTAATTCAAGTGACCAGACTTGGCCTAAGACCTCATCATACATTGCTGTATTAGGCTCAATTTCATTCATTTGGACAGAGCACATTCTCAAAAATATAGCTTGTTTTTGCCATATCTACATTTTCATACATTACAGTGTTTACAGTAACATTCGGACACTGAATCCTGAGCTTTCTGATACTTTCAACATTTAAGATTACATTCAGAACACTCCATCTGAAAACAATGTATAAAAACATTTTACACAGTTTTACACTAACACCCATTATATCATAATTGCTATTTCGCAAAGTATTGGTGATAGGAAGAAGCTTGTATTCTTATTGCATGATATTGCAAAGTGCGTCCATGCTCTAACAATGCATAGCAGGTATATGGCAAATGTTATTTTTTCACAACAGTGCTTCGAGAAGAGCTGAGTGAATGGTGGAAGCCCTATGCTTTGGTTTGCACCGTTAAATGACAATACTGGGTATTTTCATTTAACTGGAAGCAGCTAAATAAGCAGCAATAATGAGGTTAGCACAGAAGGCTACTGTTTTGATATTGAAATACTGTAAGTGAATGGTACGCATTTACAAGTGGTCCTCTGTACACTTTACTGTGTATTTTAACATGTTGAAATCTCCCATATGGTCCAAAGAGCATTCTCTTTGTATTATTTATTACTGATCTAGTATTACTCACCATAAATGTCAAAACCGCTGTAGCACCATGTTTCTGGAAGCTTGAGATAAGTACAGGTCAAACAATACAAACTTAATTACATCCTGGTTTCCGTTAACCATCAAATAACTGATTCACAATTGATCAGTCTGAGCGTTAAGGGGAAAAGCTGCATCCTACTGTAATCTATATGGAGCCACATACAAGAGCCGTTCTGACAAGACACTGCACTGTTGTAAGCTGCAATACAACTAAGAGAAGCATATATCTTTATCAGTCTCAAAGCTTGACTCATCTGAGCTCCATGTGGGTATTATCTCTGTAAAGATCTTAAGTCACCAATCAAGCATAACATTATGACCAACAGCAAAGGTTTTAAAGGTTTTCTTATTAAATTAGTGATGTTATGTGGCATTATGTGAGGTTACTATTTATCTAATATACTGCTCCATGCACAACACACTTTTATCTTCTTAGTATAGCATTGATACTGCTTTGACACTGCAGACCTTGAATAGTTTCTAAATGCTCCAGTTTTACAGATGACCTTCATCTATAGTCAACCAGTCATCACATTTTGTTGCAAGGCCTGTCATGATAACACATTTTGACGTGTGATATATTGCTTAAGCAAATGTTCATTTGCAAAAACCGATATGTGCCATTTGAAAAAGTTTACTATTTGTATAGTATTGTTTTCAAAAGCCCAAGTCTTAATGCTATCAAAATTTAAATCCATCTCTCCTTTATTAAATCCACTAGAAATTGTACTAATTAATGATACCTATAGAATGTTAACAAAAAGATAAATACTTATACTTAATTTTGCAGTAAAACACAAATACAGATGATTGGCGATAAAACAAGAGCAGATTTAAACCATAAAAACTATCCTAAATGTACAGTATTGTTAAGAAATCATGAGCTGCAATAATAATAAAACATTTTTGTACTTAGTTTGCATTTGTAATGAGTCATAGAAGTTATTAATGCAGCATTTAACAGCTTAAATCATATAGCCAAAAACCAACCAAAAGCACCCAGTAATGCAAAGAAAACACAATAAATATAGACCCCAAAATAATATTGTTCCAGTTTTCATATATTGAACGATATGTTGTGACAGGCCTATTTTCAAAACTTGCTTCATTCACTATTTCTGTACATTATACTTAAAACCAACTACGTTTGAGAATACAGTATTAACGTGTAGCCTAAGATATCTCATCTGTTAACATGTGCCACAATAAAGCAAGAATGCGTGTTAGTCAATTGTCAGTGGTCATAATGTTATGGCTGAGCTGTGTTGACTGGCTCAGTAGAAAAGCTTTGTTCAGTTTTTGAGAGTGTGTGGTTTTAAATGGCTCCGAGAGAGATTGTCTGTAATACGTGTATACTTTAAATGACTATGGATCCAAAATTGTGACAGTGACAAACAAAATATCGAAACATTGAAAATATAAGACTTTTTTAAACCCATGAAGTCATATGCCCACAGTCTAACCTCAATCTGATAACTTTTTTTTTTTTCTTCAGATCAAGCTAGTTCCTAACAGGCACTTTAATATTTCACCCTGCTAAACTGTACACTGTGAGACTCGGCTTCTCACACAACATGGGGCTCAAAAAACGCAAAACCAAAACAAGGACAAGTGAAGGGGATATTACAGCACCAGGCGTCAAATCCCACTTAAAGGTTCACTATGTAACTTTTTCAGATACAGAGAGCACAACCTGCTTGTCGCCATGGAGATCTCATTGATTTGCCTGAAATGTTGGATAGTTTGGCATTAAACATATTTATCTCCATCATAGCAATCAGACATAGCCACTAGTCCAAGTTATGGGTCGGGTCTGTGGAATGGCGAGGCCACACACAGAAAGAATGAATTATATTGAGTTATAAAACACTGAGTAGTTAAATAAATAAAGTATTAGGCTTATATAGTACTTTCCCAGACATAATATAATATCATATAAATATAGACAAGATAGATAGGTTTAATGCCATACTGTGGAGCATTCTAAGCAACATGGAAACAAGCAGATGGTGGCCCCCCTCCAGAAACGTTCCATAGTACACCTTTAAAATCAATAAACACAAAACATAAATACAAATATAATCTACAAAACATATTCAGTGTTTACCTTGAGTGCTATTTCCCGGCCCCACCCCCCCAGCATAAGCCCCGCCCACTGTGCCATAGTCCGCTCGATGCTAGCCCGTTCTGAACTCTTCTTCTATCTCTGGGAGGGACTTCTTGATGTCTCGGCGCAGCGTTTCGGTCAGTGGTCTGGAGCTACTCGGGGATTCAAGGTTTTTGGGTTCGTTGGTGTGGTAGCTGCCCTTCTGCTGATAGGCGTACACATAGATGCTGTAGAGGCCGGCTAAGAGCAGCAGGAACGCCAGGATAGCAATGACTAAAAGGGAAAAAAAAGTAAAGTAATATGGTGGACCAAAATTTGCATTAGTTGGGTATTCATTTTATTTAGATTTTAAGGATTTACTAGAATATGGGCCAACAGCTGAAAGAAGAAGTGAGGGGGGGTGAGTTAGCTGTAGATTTTGTACTTTTTGGTATTTAAATGTAAAAAAGGTGGATTAAGTGATTTGAAAGTGTAATCCTTAGTCTTTATATAAATACATTGTTTTGGAGTACTTTTTTCTGGATTGTTGTTGCACAGTGCAGTTTGGGTCAAATACATATAGAGATTCGTAAAAGTTTTGAGCCCCCTTTTTAGTCAACTAATCGATAGACCGGACGTCTTTAGTCGACCAAGAATTTCTTTAGTCGACTTGAGCCTTAATATAATTCTGTCAAGAAGCACAGCAATGATGGAAATGTATATGAGTAAGTGCAAAATTAGCCTAGTTGCACATAAGATGTACTGTATTTTTTCTTGCCTGAAAAGTCAGGGCCAATGTTTGAATTTTTGTTGACTGATAAAATAAAATTATAAAAACATAGGGTTGACGTGTAAATCTATGTATTATTTGTAAACAGAAAAAACTAAACAGGACATACACAGGCCGAAGTTTCATATTCATTTTGTCTAATTCTCATAAAAATGTAAAATAAAATTTAGAAAGGAGACACATTTTGGATAAGTGAATACAGCTATTAAGCATTTAAGAAAATATGAGCCATGGGTCTTATAATTTACATAAAAATACCACAGACTATTTGTTTCCAATACAACATCAGACCGAGCATTAAACTGGATGAAGGCACTGCTCCCTTATGTTCTGAGCAGTTTGGCGTGACGCTGATAAGAACAGGGGTCATTATAGGGACCCCGGAACGCTCCACTAATCTCTAATGTTACGCTGATGTTTCTGCATTAGCATAATACTCCCCAATCCCTCCTGTAAAGATAAACTGTCTAGACTATCAATGAGAGAATGGTTTGAGCTAAACACAGGCACAGCACAGTTTTAATGGTATGTCTGAATGCAACTGCGATGATGCATATACCTACATTGTATTTTATAACTATAATATTTTATTGTATATGTGTGTTTAAATGTTTAATGTACTTTAAATCCAGGGGCATCGTGGCAAATGGCTTTTTCAGTACATATAAAAGTGTATTGTGTAAATTTTCTGGTGGAGGGTCTGCCAAATTGTATTGATTTGCCTGCAATGTTCCACATGGTGCACCTTTTAGGCAAATGTACAAATCAAACAAGTGAAAAATACAGTACATGTTGACATAAATTGTATGTCAAAAAGTTCAGCTCTATATTTTGAATGTAGGAACAAAGCATTTGTTAAATGTTCAAATTCAAATTAGCATTTCTTACCTATTATCCAGAACAGCCCTAGGTCATCATGGATATAGATGTATTCTAAAAGACAATGTAAAATGTCAATAAAAACATTTCAACCATATTTTTAGTGTGGCAAGGAAAACCATGCTGTTACCTATAGTGGTGAACCAGGGGTCTACCTCCCAGGGCACATACCCCAGGACAGGGGGGAACGCTCCGCATACAGACTCTGTGACGATACCCTGGGTGGTCACTGGGGGGTCGGTCACGTTCGGTCTGAAATACGCCTTCAGAGGAGCATAGACATTGTACCTCACCCCAGAGATACAGCCGATAAACCCAGGCGCATTGTGTTTCTGGATCTCATAGTCGATATCACCAACCTCTGAGAAAGCACGTAAAAACATCTGTATTGTGAAGCTTCATTGTTTTAGTATATTTTTGAAGATCTACACATTTTTTACCCATAACTCGGCCAAGAAACATCGATTTGGGAGAGTCAAATCTGGCATCTTCAACTAAAGTTATCTTTTCCACATTTGGCTCCATGTAGTCCACCTGAAGACAGAGCAAGATCCAATAAAATACAATATACAGACATATTCTGTTTTTTTCATATTTAGTATAAACCTATAAAATATGCAGGTCACAAAACTGAGATGCCCTGCTTCTTTATTGCAGGTATTTCACTGTAGCAAGCAGGTTTTATTTTATGTAACTGTATTGTTCCATTTTATAAATGCACACTTTAATGATGTTATTATAGAATTTTTTAAATATTACTCACCTGTGTTTTAATAGTGTGGTTATGTCTGGTTATATTGATATAGTGAGGAAATCCATCCGCAAGGTTCCTCCGCGTCAGTTCATATTTGTGAGTTATTAGACCCAATTTATACCTCAGATCAACACTACCTGTGAAAAGAAAACAAAGTAAAGATTTGACCATTACAACAGTATTACTTAGGCCTAATGCTTACCATCTACTTTGAGTATAACAGCTATGTAGTCCTGTACAAAGGAGCTGATGTAGAGTAACACAGCTGGAGTGTGCACTGTGCTGAAGCTGAACTCAATGTCGTCCGCTGTGTCGTTGTATCCCAGAGTAAAGTTATCGTAGTGAGGGTCGATCCAGTTTGCCCAGGCCGCTTCATCTGAGATGGGCTGTTTCAGAATGTTGTACTTCAACCATGAGCCCACCTCAAAGTACGCTCCAATGTCTACAATTGAGAAGAATATTGAAATGAAGGGTAATATTTTAAAATGCTGGTAAACTGAAAATTTTAAGTATAATTAAATCCCATTGTTCTGTAGTCTGGTGTTTTGTTAAATAATCTTACAACCTCAACGAGAAGGCAAGAAGCACAAATGATCGTATTTTGACAACATAAAGGACTTGTTAGGTCCATAATAGTCCATTCATTTTTTTTATATATATTTGAATTTTGTTTTTCTGGTTATTAGACCCCTGCAAAGATAAATTCTGTCTTTGCAATTCCAGCTATTTATTTATGGTGTTAAAAAGAATCACACAGTTTCTGTTGTTTTCATGTTGCAGATAGAGGTGAGAGATAAAATGAAAGGTTGAAAATTGTTATTCTGAAGATATGCAAAATAAGAAAGATATATAGAGATTATATTGTCTATAATAGAAAGTGACTGCCATAATGTCGCCCGTATGTTGTCATTGGGATATTAAAAAAATAACAAGGAATAATTCTTTGTCAATATTGCTCACCCTTAGTTGCAAATATATTTTTACACAATGAAATAAATATAATAAATTGAGAAGATGAATAGTAAAAACTCACCTTTATGACAATAGAAACCATCAAATGCCGTGTTGTTACAGTCACACCAGTAGGAAGCATAGCCCTCGATGCACTGGCCGGCGTTCCGACACGGTACGGTGGCATTCACACACTGTCCACTGCAGTTTCTCCGGATCCCTTGTTCTTCATTCACTTTTCCCTCTAAATCATACGGAACTCCATTCAGCCGTAACCCGCGGAGACAGCCTAAGAACGGTCGGTGTGTTTTATTGGCTGCACCTGAAATGAAGGCAGATGATATAATCCATAGTTATTGATGAAGTAGTGTCAAACAGAAATTCAATAGTTCACACTCAAGGATACAACTAATTCAATACTGCAACCAAATCCAAACTTCTCTGCTTTTAATACAAAGACCTTCAATTTTAATTAAACTGTTTTGCAAGCTTAAGTGGCACAATAACTTTGATTTGTGTCTTGGTCCAAATTGTGAATGTTTTTTTTTAAGTTGTCTTGCTATTACCAGCATTACTGATAATAGGGGGGTCTGAGGGTTCTCTTCCAGAAAATGTTTCATATAACAAACCGCATTTCCAGTAATTTGGTGCATTTTAAGGGTGACTCAACTGAACTCAAGTTTTTTTGTTTTTTTTACTCATTGTAACATCATACATCAGATTTGTTGTGGTGAACCAGCACTGATTAGCACATAGTCATAGACATGATTTTTTAAAAACAATGCATTGTTTTACTGTGACATTCAAAATATATAAGAAATGCAGAGTAAATGTATGACAAATCTCCAGGTCATTGTGATCGAATTGCGTACTGCAGTCAGTAACTGCTCCATAAATGCAGAGGACAAATTAACACAAAATCCAACTACAGATCTTGTCAGAGTTGTGTTTTATTTCATTCACACATGTTTGAGTAATCCTTTAGTCTGTTTACATCTCCAAAGATCACTATGCTCTTTAGTTCAGCAGAAATTGGCAATTCCCGAGCTGAAATCATCCGAATGATTCTAGTGAAATTGTATGGAGTTTAAAAACATAGTGAAGCACTTCCTGTTTTATCACATGATGTCACAAGGTAGACAAAGGTGTTTTCAGTTTTAGAGGAGAACAAACATCCTCTGCCTAAATATGTATGCTTGTGTATCAAACGTGAATGAAACAAAACACAACTCAGGGTTTGTTTCTGATGAGGATACAACATTACAACATAGATCAGAAATGTACATAATATAGGCCCTTTAAACTGTCAGTGGCCACAGATTTTTTTGCCAAAATGGTGCACAGCAAATATCCTATTCCAACATAGACCTACCAACGAGAAGAGGCTGTGTGAACTTCATGGTGACAAAGGTTTGACCAGGGAATCGTCGGACAGTCCAGGGCTGCCAGTCCACTTTGATTCGAGCTACTTTTACATTGAGTTCAGCTTGGACAAAGTGCCATTCATTGTCATTAAGGGGAACTGGAGACCTGTGAGTTACATTGAGGATGCCATCACCAACCATGAAGATGAAGAGCAGGTTATGGGTCGCTATGGAGATAAAGATACAAACAGAAACATTAAAAAACATGTATATACAAAACTACGTTCCTGTCTTCATAGAGATGTTACTGCTTTGATTAGAATGTCCCTAGGCAAATATATTCACAGAGAGAAATATTGTATTTTTGAGCAACTGAAAAACCCTAATTAATAAAAGCTTGATATATGTGTTTAATGTCATACCATGGAATATTCCAGGCAAAGCAATAACATCGCAGTAAAGACAAGCAGGTGATGGTCCCTCCACCGGAAAAGTTGCATAATGCACCTTTAAGAGTTTGCTTGTCTAAAAGTTTACTGGTTAAAATTATCAAAGGATAATATTTGCAACACAGTACCTCTGACCTTTATTTGACTTTGTGTTTTACTCAATCATACGTTTTTATACCATAAGCATGATCATCTTCACTCAAAAAACATGTATTGTGGTGTATTTTTATCAGTTGAATCAAATGGCAATGACTTACTGTTAAGCTCAACCCGTATAAAGTTGCGCAGGTGGTCATCCGAGCTCTCGAGGAAGACGCAGTTTGCTCTGTAGGTTTTGAAATGAAAGGAGATGTCTGCACTAGATCCAGGTTTGAAGGTGGGAAAGGTTATGTACGTGGGCTTGGTGAATGAGACGGTGTTCCAGATGTTTCCTGTGACAAAAATGATATGTTAATGACCTGGAATAGGTTTTAGTCATATCAGAAGTTTGAAGCAGGTCAGATTGGTAGATCTAATATAATATGGTTTTAAATTACAAACTTACAAACTTACAAACTCTATCGACTCCAGCTCCAATTTGCTTTGTATTGAAAAAACGTCAGCTCCCTTTCCATAACTGCTGCTGTTAGGCTTCTTACTTTGGTCTTAAAATGTTCATATTAGCCCGCTGTACATGATCATCGTGTTTTTATTTTGCTATTTTAAATCAATTCCTATTCCTAATATGGAACTTCAAATTTTCTCCTTCATTTTACTGGAGCTGAACACTATGGGTGATGTCACACTCCCTTAGTCCAGCTGTTTATACAGTCCCTGAACAATACAGATTTGTTTGTTTTCAATTCACACTTTCACATGTTTTGAAATGAATGCAATTTTTCAATAGATAGAACTGCAATGTTTAGAATTATTTATTGCTATGTTTTACATCACTTGAAAACCAGGGATAAAGGATCAAAATAATATGAATATTAAACCAACCAAGCACTTATCATTAAATTATAGTATCCATGGGTTTTGCAATTATGAAAAGCTTGGCATAGCAATTAACAAATTATTCCTTTTGAAGGAGGAAAAGTCCTCAAAATGTTGCATAGAACAGAAGGCTGAAATCCCTGGTGATTTTAAGCTAAATGTTAACATCTTTCACTATTTAAATGACATTCTCTTCTGCACAATACTGATGTTCAACCTTCACAACCTAATTTGGGTTTAAGCGTTCAGGAGGCACAGATTTGGTCCAAAATACTCACTGTCTCCATGGCAACGGAGAGGTCCAACTGTGAACAGTGCCTCTGATCCGGTGCGGTTTGTGTCTCCAACAACGACTCTCCTCACGGGCAGGTGGTCTCTGAAGTCCAGGTAGCCTTTGTCAGAGTACCTGAAAAATACAGCTTGTTATCATTGTTATCAGAAAACTATTGTGGCCTCTCATTATATGAAAAACTATAAACAAGTTGGGCATTAAAATAGTACAACAGAAGAAAACCTTTGCTTCTTGTATGATTCTAAATGTTATAGAAGCAACTATAGCCTAGTACTTCTGAAAGATTGCAGACTATGAGTTGATTTCTTGTATTGACCATTGACTATTTCGCTGTTTGATTTTCAAACTTTCTGTTGGTTAAATCAACAGTTTTGTGAGCCCTGCCAGGCGATTGCTGTTGTGATTTGACAAATGCAAAACTCTAAAAATGATTCAATAGGACCATCTGTGCTACCATAGTCTAAATAGGAAATCACTGATGTTATAATACAATACAGTTTATTAATTCACCAAAATCTTGTATATTAAATGTGATAAAAATTAAGTTAACCAGTCTACCTGGATGACATTTTCTGTATTTTAGAATCTCTACAAATAATCAAACTTAAAAATTAACATTATTATTACAACACTATTGAACAGCAGGGAATTTGCTTCTATGAATTTCTGATATTATTAAAAATATATACAATTACAATAAAATACAATCTCTTACCACTGTCTATAGTCGGCATCGCAGTTGCATTGGAACCTTGGATCCACACAGGTTTGGTTGATGGCGCATCCACATTTCTGTATTTCTCTAAATGTTCCTCCCCAGTAATAGTGACTCTCATTGTTTCGCCCAATCCAGTAACCAAAGGGCCGTCCACCTGTTAGATTAATCAAATATTATGACAATATTGAGAAGAAATATGATACAAAACTAAATTATTAAGGTAGACCTATATTTATTATTGAACAGCACTGAGAGGTCTGTGGCATTGTTAAATTTTACCAAATATATAAAATTACTCTTTTTCTGTAATTAAAGTGTTACAAATAAAACAGAAAGTATTTATGTCCCAAAGTGTCAATGTAGTGACTTTTTCATGCAGCAAAAAACACAAACACATAGAAAGCAGGAAAATTTAAAATATATGTTTTAAAATTCCTATATTATGCAAAATTTTATCTTGTGTCAGATTTTTGTTTTGTTTCATGTTTGTGTAATCCTTTTTTTTAGTCTCTCTACATCTCCGAAGCTCAAAATGCTCTGTTCCATCTTATGATGTCATGAAGTAGAAGTTTTCAGGTTAACCACAACCTTTTAGCTTTAGTTTAGTAGAGATTGGCAATTCCAGGTCTGAAATTATCCAAATGATTCTAGTGAAGCTATGTGGAGTTTCAAAACATAGTGAAGCACTTCCTGGATTACCACATCACATCACAAGGTGGAGTAGAGTAGTTTGAGAGAAGAACTCGTTCTAAATATGCAGGGTTTGTGTTTTAAACACAAAACAATTCCAGGTATGTTTTTGATGTTGAAACAACATTACAACATAGATCAGAAAATAGCATAATATGGGCCCTTTAAAATACACAATTTAATAATTTAAAGTTTAATATTACTTGTCATTACATACCTGCCGTGTTGAGTAGTCTGGACTTGTAGCAGGAGTAGTCAATCCATTGTTCACAGTAAATAGAAGTATTAGCCAAAGCAGACACTTCATCCCACGAAGCGTTCCAGTAATTAACATCTCCAATATAAGGCCTCTCTATGGTACTCCCAGATACCTTTGTACCATCCGCACGATCATGCATAATTACTGTCCAAGCTTTATATGCTGTGAAAATATAAAAGACAAATTTATTTCAGTGTCAGGAGTTCAAGGATGAAAAATGGGTCAGTGCTGTCTAAAATATTTGAACTTAATCTCAAGTCTGGATATTACTTCATAAGATTGCAGAAGCTGCAGGGCAGAACTGTCCTGTATTTCCCAGGAAATTTAACTCACATCTATCTCTATCATTATTAAAACCATGGGAGAGCAACTTCTTAGTAAAAATAATACAGACTTTTCAGCATTACTTACATTTCATTTTGCAGTAAACCTCAAATGGCTTCAAAGGCCCACTGAGATCTGGATCAATTGTGTAGTTTCCAGACCAATACTTGCCACTGAGTCTGTAAGCCTCGCAAGACTCCTTATAAACAGCTGAGAAGAGAGGGTTGATCAATATATTGTGATGACAGAGAAACAGAATAGGTTCATTGCTTAAAGGGACCATATTACACTATTTTCTGATCTATGTTATAATAATCACAAACATATCCAGAGTTATGTTTTGTTTAATTCACACATGTTTAACACACAAACCCTCCATATTTAGGCTGTGTTCTTCTCTCAGAGAGAAAACACTCTGTTCCACCTTGTGATGTCATGTGGTAATACAGGAAGTGCTCCACTGTGTTTTTAAACTCCATACACCATCACTAGAATCATTCAGATCATTTCAGCCCTGGAATTGCCAATTTGTACTGAATAAAATGTCAACAGTAGCTGGAAAACTACCTCTTCATGACTAATTCAGAATAATAATGCAGGATTACTCAAACATGTGTGAACAAAACAGGAGTTCAGGTAAAAATATTATAACATGAATTAATAAAGAAAATAACTTTGGGTAATATGGGCCATTTAATAACCTCTTTGTGAAATATTGTTGATTACACTTACACATATGGCAGACTTCTCCTTTATACCCTGTATTTTCGCAGATACAGATAAAGTCGTCCCATGATTGAATGCATCTGCCCTCATGTTCACAGGGGTTTGGAGAGCATCTGTAATCAAAGAAAGTGATTAGATTAATAAAAACTCATAAAATTTTGTAAACCGTGAGTCAGAGACAGAATCTGTTTTTTTATGTAATTCTTTAGTTTTAAACTGTCAAAAAAGATTTACATGGGCTTCTATTGGTACGAAAGTGGCAATATTTTCACTACTGAACCTTGGATCCAAAAGATAAATAAAGGATAAAACACATCATATTATAGTGAGCTATTTGACTCTCCTGAAAACTGGTTTTAATTGGAGTATCTAGCACCCAAACATGATGGGTTGCTAGATCCTGCTTTTGCAACTGTGCATAGATTTATATTGTACTTTCTTTGAGTAAAGTTTGTATACAGTTTGAACAAGTTTACTTCATATCTCAGGAGGATCTTACATCACTGAACTAGAATATGCTCTGTCTGTATCAGCTATGGGCAAAAATAGATACAGTGGACGTGTTATCAAATTATCCAAATGGCAAATAAGGAACTTTATTTCACAACAAAGCTGATCTGGTAAGAGATATCTCTGTATGTGTATGGCACTGCAGTGGTGTATGAATGTGAGTGAGTGAATGAGTGAATGAATAATATACTAATGTAAAGTGCTCTGAGTGCCTATAAAAGCGAGATATAAATCCACTCCTTTATTAGCTTTGTCAGGATGTAAGTTAGGAACCACTTTCAACGACAGAATTGGAAAAGTATAATGATTCCCAGGCCAAGCTAATGTAATAATATCGAAATATGTCAGCACAAAAATACTGTTAAAATACTTTATTATGGAGCTCAACAGTGACCGCCCAACCCATAGCTTCCAAAACTAAATTTGCCATTCATCTTTCTCATAGGCTTTCAGGAAAAAAAAAATAAAAATTATATTAAATGTCTGAAAGCTTGCTCACAGTTAATCAGCTATGTCATAAGTAATCGCCACAATACCTATAATTTTGTTTAAAATTTGTTCTGAAATTTTATAAACTGCAAAGTTAGCAAAGCATTTCACCAAATCCTGTTTTTTAAATGTGCTTTTCGGATTTAATGATATTATTTACCATAGCTGGTTAGCCTCCACGATGTCTTTGAACTCTCAATATTAGAATTTTTTGAAATGTCTATGGGAAAATATATATGGAAAATTTTATTGGGAACTGACGCAAGTGCTCACTGTTAAGGTCCATTGGAAGCTTAAGTGATTCTTCTTTACCTGTCTGTGATCCCGCAGGTGCCCAACAACAGCTCTGCATAGCGCCCCCATTGTCTTTGGAGAACAATATCTATATCCAACTGTTCATTGTCTATAAAAATATGCTGCATGCAACCGTGAAATCGATTCAGCTTGGTTTCACATTTTCGTATCGTGTTGTTGGTCTGTGGACAGCCTGCAAACAAAGCCAGTGTTTACAACTCTGAAAAATACAAATAATGAAATTGATACAAATTTTTCTATGCAATTCTAACCTCCAAAAAAGTAGCGGTCACCAGTTCTAATCGTAAAAGGGTTTGTTATTCTCAAAGGAGATGCTTCTTCTTCATCAATGGTCAAAGTTAAAAGGTTATCTCTAGCTGCCAAATCCACTGTGTGCCAGTAGCCATCATTCAATCTGTATCCTGAAAACGAAGAAAGAAGAGAGTAAAAAGAGAAGAGAGTTACTTTTACAAATTTAACTGGCCTATATTACGCTATTTTCTGATCTGTTATAATGTTTTTTCCTCATCACCAATATACCTGGAGTTTTGTTCCATTCACACATGTTCACACAAATCCTGCATTTTTTGACTGTTCTCTCCAACACTCACTCCTTGTAACAACACTCCACCTTGTGATGTCATGTGGTAATACAGGATGTGTTCCATTGGATTTTTAACTTTAATATACCTTCACTAGAATAATCTGATTAATTTCAGCTCTGGAATTGACATTTCTACTGAACAAAAGGTAAGAGGTAGCTGGAACTTGAAAACTACCACTTCATAGCATCACACGGTGGAACAAAACATTTTCAGCTTCGGAGATGTAGACAGACGATTAATAAAGGTTTACTCAAACATGTGTGAATGAAACAAAACATAACTCTTGGTATGTTTTTGAGGAGGTAACAACATTAAAACATTGTAAAAAGCTCACAAGAGCCTTCAAATTCAAATACAATAATATCTTGAACACACCTGCTGCAAATTGAATCTTTTTCTTGCCCGGCTGAAATATCGTGACGTTTATCTGTCCTTCGCTCAAGCCTAACTCAAGAGCTCCCAAATCATCAGCAAATCGTGTAAACATGAGCAGTCCAGTGTAGTCCCAGGATCGAAACTTAAACTTGACAAACATCTTGGGTCTCCTGAAAAACCCCGGGACTTGGAGATAGTTGTTTGGTCCAGCAAAGGTCATTGGTTTGAGTAAAATGTCACGGCAGGTGAAGTGCATCTTTTTCTAAAGGTGAGGAAGAGAAACAGAAGGTTACACACTCCATTTAAAAGTAATGAGCTTGGTTGACAAACAGGGGCAGTGCCAGGCAGGGGCTTGAGAGAGTACTAGCCTCCCCAAGAATAGTATAACGCCCCCAAACATTTTTGCCCCATTTTCATAGGACATTCATTCTAAACTGAAAATGTTCAAATGGACACCGCAAAATACAATAAAGAAAAAAATAATCCATATCAGCTTTTATAAATCACCATGGGGGCTAGCTACATTTAAATTTGTTTAAAACAGCAAAACAAACCTGGATGCCACAAACAGCTCTAAAGCATTGGTGTCAAACTCAAATTCACAGAGGGCCAAAATTTAAAATTGGGACTAAGTCATGGGACAAAATAAATATGTTTTGAAAAATTTCAACAACATCTGCATGTTTTTGCTTCTTTTGAGATATGTACCTTTTCTTATTAAAATAAATGTTTAATAATATTTTTGCTTAGACTTTGAATCCAGAACAAACCAGAATAGCCTGTCTCTGTAGCCAGTGGGCCTGCTCTAATACATATTTGATATACAAATATAATTATATCGAGGTGCAAATTTGGTCCACGGGCCAGTCTGACATGTCTGCTCTAAAGTATAAGTTTAATGGAACAGTATATAGAATACAAATACACTGCAATATTTAAGCAACAAAAAATACTACAAATTAGACTTGATGCACAGTGTAACTTATCTATTACCCCACCTACCCAAGTGCTTTGTTGCTTTGTTTGGAATGTTCCAAAGTATGGCATAAGACAAATGTATCTTCAGTACTATATTCAATGGCCGGTGGCGTCACTTGCTTCTCTTATGTATGTAAAATATGTATGTCTAATACTGTGGAACATTTAACATAACTATACACAACACAAGCAGGTGGCAGTTACAACTACCTAAACATGGCTGATTTTGCATGTTGAAATACACTTTCACCAGCCACTTTTTATGGATGTCAATTTTGAGGTTGCCCGTGCAGGTGCCTTGTGAATTTATTTTCTATAAAGTAAAATAATGATAACAAAAAACACAAAAAAGCATAATTAAATACTGAAAAGTGACTTACCTTTCTTGGTATACGGATATCAGTCTCCTCTCGTTTGGCCTTGTCGATGATATTGACACCATTAATAAAGACGTTTTCAAGGCATCCTCTGAAGTTTGGAGTCGAGGGAAGATGAGGCATGTTTGGCTCAATTACTCCACCAACGTACACCTGTAAGAAACACTGTAATCCTTAATTCGTCCATGGTGTTTGATGTATCTTTATGTACTTTAATATATTGTACTAATTTATGTACTTATTAATCATGTGTATGCAAATGTTACATATTGTTACCAAATTTCCTACATTTATTACTTATTTCATCCATATTTTATCACAACTCCATTTGCTTGTAATTACAGTTAATTCTAGGGATGCTCCAGTCCAGCTTTTGTCAGTTCTGATACAAATATCAGTGATGTTAGTTGATGTGACAGAAGTGGACACAGACAGGACAATGGTTCTGTTTTGTAGTAGTTTAAAATGTAAAAATTAAGTTATATCGATAGAATGTACCTGCTTGTCTAGATCCAGGTGAGTGAAGTCCCCGTTGCAGTATCCAGTGACACTGTGAGCGTCTACAGTTAAATTCACCTGTCGACCGTATCTCTTTATAGTGATGTAGTGCCAATGCAGATTATCTAGGAGGCTGCCCACTGTCAGTGTAGTCTTCCCATTAAGATTGTGGACAATACTGCTTCCTAAAATACAATCATATATCATATTTTAAAATAAGACAAATAAAGGTTAATACAGAAACTACTTGAACTATATGAGATAAACTACATAAAATATATAAGATAATAAGATTTTTCAGGATATTCTTAATTCTTAATAAAAGCTAAATTATCTTGAAACCACTAAAAAATGCCAGGAATCAAGTTAAAAAGGCACTACATGGCTTTTCTGGATTGTACTGCTTTGACTAGAATTTTCCACAGCATCAAATTAAGCTTATTTTTCTCAGTGGAAACAAGCAGGTAACACCATCAGCTACAGGTCAAATCTGTTGAGAGGCGACCCCACTCTTAAGTATGTTTATAAAGATATTTTTAAGCAGTAAAAACGAGTGTAATTGACTAAATCCAAGATAGATATTCTTAATGCCATGCTATGGAACAGTCAAGGCAAAGCAGTAATATTTCTATGGAAAAAAGCAGGTGGTAGACCCACAGCCAGAAGAATTATATTGTAACTATGTCAAGGTCAAGAAAACAATCCAATCTTACTTGTTTTCATGACCATGAACCATGCATGTCAGGATTAATATTCTGAAAACACATTAACAGACTGAAACACATATTCCTTAAAGGTGCATTGTATAACTTTTCTGGTCTTTTCCGAGTCCTTCAAATGTTTTTCTCCATGGAGATGTTATTGCTTTGTCTGAAGTCCTTCACAGTATGGCATTAAATTGTTCTATCTTCATGGAGGACAAACGAGACCAAGTTACCAGACCAAGTTATAGGTCAGATCTGGGGAGAGGCAACCCTGCTCACAGTTAGAATGTTCTAGGTATTTTTAAGCTATAAAACCACTTGCATTGAATAAATGTAAAGTAGAGCTGTTTAATGTCTTACTGTGGAACATTTTAAGTAGTGCAATGACATATCCATAGAAACAACCTCTAACCAAAAAATTACACAATGCTCTTTTAATTGTAGGGTAATTTAAATCATTTACCAAGGCTAATATGAAGGTAGAGGCGCCCCTTCTTCAGTTCAAGTGTGAATAAGTCTCCTTGCACCCCCTCACTGTGCAGCAGTAATCCATCCTGCTCCAGTGTTTTAAAGTTAAGAGCGATGTGATCAGACAGAGTACGAGACTTCCTCCCAGGGTACATGTACACTACAGAGTCATCTCCATTGTACTGCAGCACATAGGAATCTGAAACAAGCAAAAGCGAAATAGAACAAACTTTAAAGGGCCCATTTTACGCTGTTTTCTTTGTCTATGTTATAATGTTGTTTTCTCATCAAATGCAAACCCATAAAAAGCACTCCACCATGTGATGTGCCATTATGTTTTTAAACTCCACACACCTTCACTAGAATCAATTGGATAATTTCAGCCCTGGAATTGTAAACTTCTACTGAACACAAGGTAAACGGTAGCTGAAAAATAGCACTACATGACATCACAAGGTGGAAAAGAGCTTCTGGGCTTTAGTAGACAGACTAGTAATAAAGGTTTACTCAAATATGTGGGAATGAAACAACTCCTGGTATGTTTTTGACGAGGTAACAACATTATAACATGGCTTAAAACTCACAATACTTCATTTTGTGCAATATAAGACCTTTAAAGAACATAATGATGTAATAGGAAATGTGTTTTGAGAAATATTATGTAAGAGAATATGTTGTATCACATTACTCTATTCACTGGGATTCAGCTTCCTGAGCAATTTTCGCAAAGATATATTTTGTTTGAATGGTTAATTGCCATGGCAGCTATGCACATTTTTCATCACTCTGAAATCCATGGATATTGTGAAGTGTATAACTGATCATTACAGTTAATGGGGTACTAACTGAAGACATAGTAACAGATATATTACCAGTAAGTCTTTTTATTACTGTTTGGTGATTCATATTTTAATAGCAACTGATGATTAGGTAGAAGATGTGCCCATATTATAATTTAGATCTTTTTTTTTCAATTACACAGTCTTTCTAATGTCTGGAACAATATAAGATTGTCTACTATTTCTCATCTGACATACATTTATACAATTATCATGTTAATCACAGCCAGTGTTGTGAAAAAAATTGCTAATTTACATGTAGCTCCACCCCTCTACCAAGCAAAACAGGCCAAATATTTTCAGAAGCGCCAGTCTTATATAAATCACTCTCAAATGTGGGTTTACAGGTATTACAAATGGCTCAATATTTATAGCCTTTGGGGGCATAAATCAGATAATAATTTAGCACAGCGTTTGGCAACCCTCTTTATCATCCAAAGACAGTAAATCCTCCTTATCAGAGCTATTACATTACCATAGGGGCAGCCAAAGAGCTCCAGCCTCACGCCAATCTTGCCTCCATTCTCTGTGTTCCAGGCTAAGGGAAGCAGGCGGACATGTTTTGCAGTGAAGGCGTAATGAAAGACGTTTCTTTTGACTTGATAATAATTCCAGTTTCCCGGCATCGTCTGCAAACAGAATACACAAGAGAAAAGAGTAGAGGGAGGGAGGGTTTTAGTCAAAGCCTTAGTGTTAGTGGCTTATTAATAAACCGGAGATGAATTGATGATGAGATTAGATTTGTCACAGCGTCATAGGGAGATAAAAGCCAATGCAGTCTGGGTTTTGAAGGCTGCAATAATATACAATAAAGCAGACATTAAAAACAATTTAAATGGAGGAATAAATACCCTTCTTAATACGTTAAAGGTACACTGTGTAACTTTTCTGGTGGAGGTTCTGCTACTTGGTTGCTTCTACATTCCATATTTTTGCTTTCAACAGAATAGCATTAAACTTCCATGTAGACAAGCAGTTGAGTGGCCAAGTTCAGGTTATGTATGTGGAAAGGTGACCCCCCAGTCACAGTAAGAATGCCTCTGTCATGAAATGAAAACACACAAATGAAATCACTTGTAATTAAATAAATGCAATATAGATAAGCTACTGTCATACTGCTGAACTTTCCAGGCAAAGCAACACAAAGAAAAGCTAAATGCAGAAAATGCAGAAGCCCCACAAAAACAATATCTGTTATGGGTGCCATTAAATGAAAGTAAAACCATATAAAAAGAAGTAGAGTACATTACATCTGTAGAGGAATATTAAAGTGGATGGAAAAATTTGCATGCACTTTTACTTCTGTAATAATTCCACAAGACCATTATACAATCACACACTGACTACTGTCACTATAACCACTCAAGGGCAAAGTATGTCTCCTATAAATACTGTTGAGTTCATACCTGGCTGCTATGTGGCTAAAAATGTAGACATGAACAACGTAGAAGTATTCAAGCGCTCAAGTACTATTATTTGCCTTAGGACCCTCTATATTGACTATAAGACAAAAGTTATTCCTATGTGAAGAGTTAAGGGATCGATGAGATTAGAGATTATCTTTGTCAGTGTATAATCTTTGTTTTGTTGCCATCAATAATACATGTTTGCATCAGAATTTAAATAGATAATCCATTAAAAATCTCTCATCCTAACCTAAACTTCACCAGTACCCAAAATGTCAGCAGTGGTACGTACAGAGTTCCCTCCTCTCATGATGTAGGGCGTCCATGAGTCTGGTCGGTCTCCATACAGCAGGGTGTACTTAGTGACCCAGTCATAGGAGTTGAATGTCCCCTGAGTGGCAATGGCCACCAGTCTGTACTTCCTGAGCAGGTCAATCTGAAGCCAGGGCTGTCTGTCCCTAGGAGAGGGTGACCAGCCACTGCTACCTGAGAGGGGAAAGAGGAGGAGAAAAAGAGAAATAAGTAATTAACATGAAAGTATTAAGAGAGTGCCCTCTGAATTATTTTTTTTAGAAAGAAGGCAGATGGTCAGGTTTGTATAGTCATTATAAATCATTATCATAGCTTTTTTGGCTGTTTTGTGCATTTGTAATTTCAACTTCAAAGCTTGAGGTAGGGCTGGGCAAAAAAAATCTATTAAACTTATTATTCAAATTTGAATTTGTTTGGAAGACAATACATTTTTATTTTCCCAATTTTCTTGCATTAGAAATTGCATTGAAAATGTAAGAAAAGCTGCTCGCTGTAGTCACAGGGACCAGAGTTTAGCACAGGGCCATGCAGCACTACCTGCTCTGAAATCAGAGACAAATTAAATCAAATTAAATGTTGAGGTTGGTTAAATGGTGCAGGTTTAATGCAGTAGTTTTAAAGTTCCCCAATGGCGAGTGGGTTACATATGATCACTGCTCAATTTTGACAGTTTTCTGTAGTTTGCAGAACATTTTTGGTCAATTTTATTTTCAGGCAAAATTACACAGTCCTAGCTTGAGGAAAACTACATTTCATGCTATATAATCACATGTAATCAACAGACTGCAGTAAATGAAGTTGATGTGTATGTGAATTCAATTGAAATGAAATCTTATCTACTAGAGATACAATGCAATACAATTTAATTCCCATCTGGAGATATTCAACTAATTTACCTGAATATTCCTGACATGTTTTTGTCACCTGTTGTCATGTGTCAGCCATCTTGGATATTGTCCTGACAATTACAATGCTTGTCCATCAGGTGGCAGTGTAAGAATTAAAGTCATCATGTAAAAATTATGCCATCAGACATAGCGCAATCCAAGCCCCAATATCTAATCCGACATGGTAAATTATACATTGTTCAGTCAACATGTGTTTAAATGCAGTTTCTTACCATATAATTTTGCAAAGTTGGCAGAGTACAGGAAGTTGTATCTGGATGAGGCCAAGAATGATGAGGCATAAAGATTGGAGATAAGTGGATCAACACAATCATCTGTAACACAAGAAAAGGTAACACATTTTAGCACTTTTGTCATTTCTGTGCTGCAGAAAACAAGCTTATTTTATCTTATTTTTGTTTTGAATGTTTGTTTTTTTTCCATTGTATGTTTGCATACATAGCAAAGAGCAACATAGACTGTATATATAAATGGACATAGCTAACCAGCTGCCACGTTCCAAATAGGAGGCCTGCATGGGCAAGCTTCTTGCTCCATCAGCTCCGTCTCCATTTCACGTTGTCCTGAGAAACTGTTACCCGTCTCTCTGTAACTGTTGCTGCCCCTCCTTTTAGTCTTAAAACGTTCGCATTAACCCGCTCTACATGATCCTGGGGGTTTTTATTACGCTATATTCTCTGGAAATTAATTCCTATTCCTAATATGGAACTTGCTCCAAATTCACTCCTATCACTGCAGATATTGTGAGCTTCGTTTGACTGGAGCCAAACACTATGGGTGATGTCACACTCACTTAGTCCATTTCCTTAAACAGTCTATGGTTTAAAAGAAAAAAGCTATACATCAACTGCAAAACACATCAATTCTAATTTTGTTCAAATTGTAAAAAGCAGAGCAAATATAATAAGGATAATACCTTTGAAGCCCAGTGTTTTCCTGGAGTCTTTTTTAAAATAGGAGCATAGTTATAAAGCGTATTGATTAAATGTTCTCAAAACTCCCTGCACCCAGCTCATTTGTATGCTGCTTGTTGGTGTAAGTGGAGGAATGCACAGTCATGCTCATACATTGTGAGCTATAGCGTCTGTGGTCCGTGATGATATCATAGTCCGTCTGCTCGGGCTCACAGGTCTTTAAACAGGTCATAATTCAGCCTAATCTAAACTGTCCCACCACAGCAATGAAACCAAATAGAACAATAGCCCGTCGTGCTCAGATATGCCCCTTTCTTGTCCTTCTACAACCCCCAGATATGATCAAACAGAACAGGGTAAAACACAGGATAAAAAATGAAAATATACTGCAACTGGATCTGAATGTCATGCCCCTGAATGATTCTTGTATTTGTCTGTAGAACAGTAATTGGTATTTTCGGTTTTGCAATCTCTGTTTTTAATATCAAAATGACAACTAAAGAAAAGATGCTTCCAACATGTACTTAAATGCTTTTTTTCCTAAATTGTGTAAATATTCAGCTTCTAAAATGCACTATAAAGCTTTTCTTGTGCAGGTTTCACCACCTGACCTCTATGATGATGCTACTTCTGATATGTACTTCACATTAGGTCCAAGTTACAGGTCAGAACTATGGAGAGGCAACCTTGATTACATGGTTGAATGCATGTTTTCAAGCTATTTTTGATTTAAAAAAAAATACTTGCAATGAAATAAATGATATGTTTGATATTTTATAAATTGGAAAAATGCAACAGACAATGCAATAACATCAGACCTCCCACAATAAAGGTTACATAGTGCATGTTTAATACTACAGCTCACACAAATATTATTCTGCTGTTTGCTCATATGTTTACAGCTTCTGTGGAGATTTCATCAGTACAAATACTCATTATTATTCATGTCTTGCTACTTTCAGTTATCCATCTAAAAGGGCAATTAACCAAATATGACATCACAGAAGTGCTTGATTTATATTACTTCAATCACAATAAGACTGCAATCCTCCACCATTACAGCCTTTCTTCACAGGAAATATGCGGCAGCCAAGATGAACCCATTGTATTCTCTACAGTATCATGTGAGATTGTGCTGGTCATATGATCTCCTGCTCTGTCACCCACTGAACAAGGACACTCCGTACGGATCTGTGCAGGAACGCTGAGACTGAGGAATATGACCTTCACTCTGCCTCCTTCAATGCTCTGAGATGTTGAGGTATACTTCCTCTCTCGTGTCTTAATAATGAATAACCACATGCTACATTCACATGGCTTCACAGTCCTGCAAAGTCACTGGACACAGAAACAGCATAAATCAGTTAAAGTAAAAAATGTTATCCTTTATCTATACAAGTTAGCCTCTTGACATTGCATTACTTTCCTGCAAAGTCACTGGACACAGAAACAGCATAAATCAGCTAAATTAAAAAAAAAAAAAAACATTACTATATATACAGATTTGCCTCTTCAGATTCAAGGTCTGCTTTTCAAGGGGGAATATTTGACGAAATACAATAACTCCTGCACTTTACTGCCACATCTACTAATATCATTGGTATCATTTAGCAAAAACTGTGACTACCTGTATACACAAGGTCAGGTATTGACAAACTGATGCAAGTGGATGCTGAGACGCCCAACACTTTCTCTTAATTATAACTAAATTGGAAATGGTTGTAGTAAATGGTCACATTTTATATAGCATATTTCCACCTTCAAGGCACTCAAAGCACTTTATATCAAGGAACCACGCACCCATTCACACACACATTCATACACCAGTGTACGCCAGGCACGATGACAGCATTCATCTGTGGGAGGTGCCAGTGGATCTGACCAATGATCAATCAATAATGTTTATGCCGACAGCGGGATTTTAAACAGTGGACAGACACTCTACCAGCTGAGCTATGGTCGCCCTAAAATGCCACATCAACATTGCTTCAGAGTCCTGCAAATATTATACCTAGAAACAGCATGAAGAGCATGGAGTTGATAACGCTGCTTTCAAGATACTCTTAAGTGCTGTACAATGCATTATTCAGTTACTGCATTACACTATGGTGGTAAGATACGTCTGAAGCCATAGCTGTCTTGGGGCAGATTCAGTGAATCAAGGATGCTAAACTGTACCTGCAGTGATCCTTCTGACCACGAATCACTCTCTTTCTCACACACACACACACACACACACACACACACACACACACACCACATTCTTTGAAAGGGTGTAGGTGTTTTGCCCAAGGACACATTGAGAGCATGCATTAGTTAGCTGGGATCAAACCAGCAACATTTGAGTTGGTGAATACACATTGTAACCACTGTGCCTCAAGTAAAATTATTTTAAGTCTAACTATATTTTGTATCATTTGTACCCATAATTCATTCTTCACACTTCAATTAGTCAATAGTACTACTGCACTTACTACTACTACACCAACTACTACTGCCACCGGCTGTTACTGCCACCAACTACTACTACCACCAACTACTACTACCACCAACTACTACTGCCACAAACTCCTACTGCCACCAACTACTACTGCCACAAACTACTACTGCCACCAACTACTACTACCACCAACTACTACTACCACCAACTACTACTACTACTACTACTACTACCACCAACTACTACTACCACCAACTACTACTACTACCACCAACTACTACTACTACTACCAGCTACTACTACTACTACTACTACCAACTACTACTACCACCAACTACTACTACCACTACTACTACCACCAACTACTACTACCACCAACTACTACTACCTACTAACTAACTTACTACCACCTACTAACTACTACTACACTACTACTACTACTACCACTACTACACAACTACTACTACTACTACTACTACTACACCACAACTACTACTACTACTACTACCACTACTACTACTACTACTACTACCACCAACTACTACTACCACCACTACTACTACTACTACTACCACCAACTACTTCTACCACCAACTACTACTACCACCAACTACTACTGCCACAAACTACTACTACCACCAACTATTACTACCACCAACTATTACTACCACCAACTACTACTGCCACTATTACTGCCACCAACCATTACTGCCACCAACTGCTACTACCACCACCAACTACTACTACCTACTACTAGGCGTGTAACGCTATCCAAGTCTCACGATACAATATCATCACAGACCACACGGACGGTATGATATTTATTGCAATATCATGGGAAAGCTTACGATACGAAGAGGAGGCTCACGATTAGGGATGTAACAATATCCAAATCTCTTATTATATTTACGCAATATTTTCACGATATACATCTCACGGTATGATATTTATTGCGATATTTTGTGGAGGCGAACAAACTTGTTAATATGCTACTTTTTCCTCTTAAAATGCCTTGACAAGATATTATTGTGAGAACTTTGACGATAAAATACCAGGATATTTCAGTTATTGTTACATCCATACCTACTACTACTACCAGCTATAACTACTCAACTACAACTACTACTACAAGACAAGGCAGGTTGTTGATTCTGACACATGAGAAACATGACCTTGACTTATATATTCCATCACTGTCAGTGCTTTCTTCTCTCATCCCTAAGGAGACCAGGGCTAATGAATAACATGCCACAACTGCTCAACTACCTTTTCCCCACTGCACCATCCTAAGAAGCAGTGTGCAATCAGTGCAAGGGTAAAGCTAATTTGCAGCACCAAGCTAAAGGGAAATATTGATTTGTTTGGGTTGTTTATTTAGTAATGAAAGGACTCAGAAGGTGAACGTTGTTGTAGAGTGGAGCAGGTTAACCCAGGCTAATGCAAAACTCCTCCTCATGGTTTGTAGCTGTCAAGATTAGCTGGTCGTGGTCAAGTTATAAGTTAATACATACTACCATTGATTCAGTATTGATTTCAAACTAATCTTATTTGCATGTGGGATTTTGCTGTAAACGAAAGGCTAATATGTGTATGCTTGTGTCAAAACTCGCTATACCGTATGTTGAGGACCGTATGATGTGTTTTAAATCCATCAATTACCACAAAATCTTGCTTCAAATCAAAGTAAGCAATGAAAATATGCATTATTAATAACATCATTGCATTCATATTTTAGAACATTTTCTAAAACATAATCTTAGCGTTGCTTTTGGATACATGCATTTTCCTATTTTGTACTCCTACACATTTTAAAGTTATATTTTGAAACTTTCTTGTGGAGTGTCAGCCACCTCCTTGTCTCCATGGAAATATCATTGCTTTGTTTGGAATGTTTCTTAGTATGGCATTTAACTCAAGCTGGTGACACCATGTACAAATTTATGTTTTCTAAAGTACTTTCATCTATCAAAACACATGTAATTGAATAATCACAAGACAGATACCATATGTAATTGAATAATCACAAGACAGATACCATACTGCGGGACATACCAGGTAAAAGTAATAATATCTCCATGGGAACAAGTAGGTGGCAGACCCCCAACCAGAAGAGTTACATAGTGCCCCTTTATTATGTCATCTAAAGTAACACTCAAACACTGTTTAAAGCATCCATGTTTCTTTGCCTGTCCGCCCTCCCTTCACTGCGCCACATAAAAAGTCTCCCTCTTCATTTATCACAGCGTCTATGGGGGATCTGTGTGTGGCTATGTGCAGCTTTAGCCCTGTGCTTCTGCTGCTGCTGAATCATCAGACTGCTGCTGTAAGTGTGCTGCCTGTGAGCCCGTCTGCCCTGACACATCATTACACACGCTTACATGCAATATGCAGAGTGCCATCTAATCCGGCTGCTTTGCAAAGATGCGTGAGCCGTGGGGTAACAACAGTATAGAAGAGAGGGTATGAGATAAACATAGGCCAGGAATAAGAGGACAGAAGCAATAGAATTACCCTAAAAGGATGCCCCCTGCATTCAATTATTTATCATGAAGCATCAGAGGAGCAATGGAGCAACTACAGCAGATCTAAACCAGGTTATAAAACACAGATCAGTCAGAAAACATTACTGCAGTGTGGACACAGCCCTAGTCTAATGTAAATGTCACTGTGTGTACTGGCCCCAAACAAATAACCCCACCCAGAACCAGGGTCAGCATGTGTCCTTTGATCTGCACTTCTTTAATCTGCCCCTGAGGCGTAAAGCATGAGACTAAGAACATGTGCAGTGTCCATGTTTTATTATTGGAGCACAGTTTAAGCACCATTAACTGTATCATGCTCAAATAGACCAATTATCACTTCTGAGTCTATGGTTTGTTAAACGTGTTCTCAATAATAGACCTTCACTCAAACTTTGAAGTGTTTGCCTGTTAGATCATTACCATCTCATTATAAGCATGTCATCCATGTGATTAATTTATGACCAGCTGTATTTTATTGTAATATCGATATTTATTGGGAAATGGAAAGCTTGAAGTGAAGAAATGACTGAGTCATGGCTTGCCCCGCGTTAACAGATTCTGAGGACGTCCCAAAGTGACATCATCACCTCAATTTTTTACTGCAGTAACTTTGGGCAGCACAGACGCCCCTTTTCTAAACACATTTAGCGCTTAAACGTCGCTTGATTGGTCCATTGATCAGCGGTTTGAAATCACCCTTTGCCACTTGAGGTCCCGTATGTGATGCATCACTTTAATTTTAATGGCCAGGTGATGGAAGCACGCGCTTCCCAAAAAGTACTGCAGTGGGCTTGTCCCAGCTAGGACACCGCGTGCGAATTAGATATTTGAGCAACATTTGCGGTTTAGACCGCACTGTATCCCGAAACAAAAAGAGACAAGTGAAGAACGGCGTTACGCCTCCCTGAAAAGTGCAGAGTTGCGAACACGGTGCAGGAACTTGGATGAGCGCGAGCACTGCAATGCAGACAGTCCTGCGATGGGGCGCACCACGCGCACCTTGAGCTGCACCAGCACTCTGAAGCTACCGCACTTTGTTACTTTCAGGAAATACAAAAAAGCTCCAGCAACTGCACAATATACGTCGCTTTACCCTAATACTGCACGCCTGATTCAACCATTGCGTGCATTGTCCTTCAACTATCCCCCGTCACCTTAAGCTTGTGCCCTCGGCTGCCATTACTGTGTCAAATGTTATTATTGCATTAATGCACAACCATATTATGCAAGTTATAACACAAATAAGTGCTGTTTGACAAGACTTACGTGATGAGGAATGTTGAAAACCCCAAAATAAAAGGCATATGCTCAGTATATTGCGCGCCATTCTTCATTCGGGACACGCTTCCCGCAGGTATTGGGTGTCAATACAATCCTTTATTGTCCTGCAGCATCCTCTCACACCCTTTAGCCCAACTTTCACTCGCGCAGCTCCAACTCCAGCCCCGGGATGTAGGCAGCCTCTGCCGCGGGGACGCGCATCGATGGTGGTGCTGATGCTGCTCCTGACCGAGAACGCGCTCTCCTTTTGTACAGTTTAATTTGTTTTATTTACATGACCACCGTGGGACCGACTGACGTGATTCCTGTGCGCCGTATGAGTACATTGTATAGAGCAGGACACAAGGCCCTGTCTGAAGTCCGGAGTCCCACGAGATTTGGATATGAAAAAAAAAAAAGTTTTACTTCATTGCGTCTGTGCAGGCCAAAAATAAATCAAGATATGTCTTCCCCTTAAATATATCCTCGTGAAGAAACATTATTTTATACCCCACTGATAAACAAAAGACTATTCCTCGCGTCTGTTCAGTTCCTCTTTGGCACAGTTTTCATCCCAGACCGTGAACAGTGCAGTGCAGTAAGGAGGCTGCTCTTTCTCCCTCCAAAAATAGTCCTCTGTTCACAGCGCAGTGTGCTCAGTCACTCCTGCGCTGTGACCTTCTCCAGGTGTCCACTTGAAGCCGGTATCTCCCTAAATGCCCACATTACGGCCATGGTCCAGGGCGCTGCTGCCATCGCCTCTCTCTCTTGGGTGATTATAGTGTACAGTGGAGGAGGCGGGAGAAGCTCGGGCAGAGGGGGATTTGTAGCAACGAGTGGCACACTGACCACGAAGTAAAAAGGCTTTAGGATTAAAAAGTGGGTTTATGGGCCGCCAGCGATGATGCTGATGTGTGATTGAATGCCTGGGCCAGTGTGGGATTTACTATGTTCTCAATCAAATCAGATTTTCAGATTGTAAGCTTCCCCTGCACCAGTGGCTGCGTTTACTATTATAACATCAGTAGCAGAGGACTATGGCAAAACAAAAAGACAGGATAATGAAGAGTAAAGTACCTGGTAACATTTTCTTCATGGTGGTTTTAGTTTATTTTTCCATAGCATATATATATATTTTTTTTTAATTAAAGAAGTATAATCTTATCAGGGGCTCTTTTATTTTGGGGAGATGTTGGGTAATGGATGTTGTTTAAGTTTTCTTTCTTTTGAAAACGAGCATTGATTATCTGAAACTATAAGATATCTTGCCATGTGATTTCTATGGCTGGCCATCTGCTGCCCTCTTGACCTTTAGTGTGTGACCCTAGTCGCCAGTACTGATTGAAACACAACTGGTTCTATAGGTTTATAGCAACAGATGAGCCAGGCAACGGCTTAGTGGCTACAACTATTACCTTTAATTTATATTGAATCAAATGTTGGCAATGTACCCTATTAAAAAAAAAAAAAAAAAAGCAAAGATTATATTAAACTTTGAGCATAATGTGGTTCAGTGTTTTGTTTTGTGGCGTTGAGAATGTTCGAGTTAGAGTCTAAAAAAATAACATATTCCAACATCCGCCTTTTTTTTTTTTTATTTTTTTTATGTATTTATTTATTTTACATCTTATTACATGGATGATTCAGAATAATCATGAATATATTTTGACTAATTACATTGTAACTATATTACACGGTGTATCTATATTACTGATTACTAGTTTTCAAGAAGAAAAAAAAAAGTATGAGGCTATTTAAAGGTTTAAATGAAAAATGCAACAACTGACCACTAGAGGTCAGGTTAAGCCAGCACAAGATTTCTTTTCCCCAAGGTTGAACGGAGGAATGCAAGAACATACGGGAGCCTTAACCAGATATTATACAGTCTTCAGTAAAAACAAAACAAAAAACAATGAAACAAAGCAAATCTTATCTCTTTGCTATTTATGAGGAAGTATTGACATTTATTATACTTTTTAGAACTGTCAATAATGATATGCATCTTATTCTTGTGGTTTTTGGACACTTACCTTTTAATGACTTGATTTGTTCACACATCACGGAGTGCTCTGAGAGAGAGTTGGTTGAGCCTCTTTGTCATTGCGCAGACTGACGCACTGGCAGAATGATCTGGTTTCTCTAAATATGTTTAAGAGACTTTTAAATGTCTTGGAGGAACAATCGTCTGGTTTTAGTTGTTTTATATGAGGTATCTATTTTTTTACAATCAAGTCTAAATGATTTTATTGGATTCTGTGTAATCATGAACAGTTGATTGTCCCAAGGTTTACTCTGTCTCTGTAATTGCGAATTGCACTGCCTCTTTGCCAGGTCACTTTTGGAAAAAAATGTTTTAATCTCAGTGAGGTTATATTGGTTAAATAAATAAAATAAATAAGATAAAATAAGTTTGTTCAGTGCACATTTTTATTTTCATGCAGTACTTGAGACCAGGTTTAGGAGACCATGAAACACTACTATTTCTCTCACTATTTCTTTGAACTAGGTATTGTCAGTTGTTTACTTTGCTGGGACTGTCGAGCACCATTTCTCAGGATCTTCCAGGCATAAATACAATTGTCAATGTGATATATGAATAAGCAGATACCAGTAGGCTAGATTATTTAGCTCTTTTGGATACAACAAAGTTAGACTACTATTCAATGTTACCCAACCCTACTTTCTCCATTGTATGATTGGGCAAACTAACAATTCATGTGTGGCTGCCATGGTGAAGTATACTACTACCCAAGAATATATAAGACTTGATCTGAGCTGCTATGTTTAAAATATGACATGGCATTCAGTCTAGTAATTTTCTACGTTTTGATTTTGTACATTTAAATTAAAGGGCATAATGCAATAGTTTCTGTGCGACTTGTGTTCAAATCTCACAAACAAAAACAAAAAGAGCCCTGGAGTCCGACAACAGCTGCGTTTCTCACACACATTCATTCTTTTTGGATCAGATTATGCCTGGCTCTGCCCACATCACGAATGCAGGCTTTCCATAGGGGTGCCATTGTACGTACAGAGGACATGAGTGCAAAAACATACAAATATTCTCACGTTGGCTCGTAAAACAACAATGATTATATTTACAAACTGAATCAGCTTCGTGAGAAAGATATGTGCATCTATGTACCAAAACTTGGGAAGGGAATTTACAGCTAAACACATGGAGAACTTGATAAAAATACAATCCAAACTTTTTATTGATCCAGTAAATGGGGAAAAGGGACTTGGACACAGTAGCTCAAATACTCTGTAAACATTGTTAAATGAAGGGCAACTATAAAAAGAATAAAAAAATAAGTTAAAACTGTAAGTACTGCACAAATTATTGAAGCATTAAGGGCTGTTGTCAACAGTAGAAATTCTTGGTTGCCCAGTTAATCTTGGGATACGGAGAAGTAGTAAATAGAATTTTAATAAGTGAAAAGGCAAATAAAACTACAGTCACTCCCAAATCTGCAGCTAACTCACTCCATGTATTCTCCTCTTCTCCACTGTGGCCTATATAAATGATCATAATCTTAATAAAACAGTCAACCCACAAGTCTTTGGTCTAGGCTTATGCAAAATTGACTCTTGAGAGCTTTATCCATGTTAGAATATTGTTAATTCATCAAAAACATACCTGGAGTTGTGTTTGTTTCATTTACACATGTCTGAGTAACCTTTTATTATTAGCCTGTCTACGTTTACAAAGCTCAAAATGCTCTGTTCCACCTTGTGATGTCATGATGTTAATAGCTACCTTTTACGTTTTGTTTAGTAGAGAGTGGCAATTCCAGGGCTGAAATTACCCAAATTATTCTAGTGAAGGTGTATGGAGTTTAAAAATACCGTGGTATGGTATGCATTACAATGTAACATCACAAGGGGGAAGACTGCATTTGAGAGACAAATTCAAAAAGAAGAATAAAAACCTCAATATCTTTTGTGTGTTAAACTCCAAGTATGTTTTTGATAAGGAATTATAAAACTGATCAGAAAATAGTGAAATATGGGCCCTTTAAAACATCCATGTCCTAATTAGTCCTTGACCTCTCCACTCTTATTCACTTCACATTTTTGCACCTGGGTCTAGCTTTTACCCCCTGGAGTACTTTTGGCTACGGTTTCCCTTACCCCATGGGAACTCCCTGTCCTGTGCCAGCAGTATTAAAACAGTCTGCCCTCAGGTGTCCTACCCCCTGCTACTCCACTGGGCTAATAAAAGCTCCTATAGGCTGATGCATGTATACAGTGCACAGACCCACCACTACACTGTTAGCTCAACTGTTGCATCCAGACAGCTGCTGCTACAACCTGTTCTACCACAGGTGAACACTGTGCACTTGTTGTTCAGCTGTGGGTTTAGTTATGTACACAAAGAACAGGCTGAAAAACATATATATTTTAGTCTGTATTTTTTTGTTAATTTGCAGTAATATTTTGTAGTTTTCTTGTAAGCAAACCAACTTGGAAAAATAGACTAGGCCAGTTTTCTTGCCTTGGTCCATTTGCACATTCATATGCTCGAGGACACAACAACAACTAGAGCAAGCATTGTTAGCATTTGTTAGACAGACACTTGACCACTAAACTATTGAGTCAGCAATATTAGAATCCTTTATTTATGTGCCTGTTGTCCAGAATGTTCTAAAATATGGTCTTAAATTTATTATAGTGACAAGCAAATGACGCCACCAGGCAAAGTTACATGTCAGATCTATGAAGAGGCGATTGTGTTTTTGGGCAATACAAAAACAATTGTATAAATGCAAGTTAAATGTAGACGAGCAGTTACCAGACTGCTTCCTTGAAAGGCTACATAGTGCACCTTGACAGTAATTATTGATCTGTTACCACATGACATCACAAAGTGGAACAGAGTGTTTTCTGTTTGAGAAAAGAACTTAGACTAAATATGCAGCATCTGTGTGTTAAACATGTGAATGAAACAAAACACATCTTCAGGTATGTTTGTGATGACCTTCAATGTCATACTCCAGGAAAAGCTTTAACAAATATGGAGACAAGCAGTTAGCGGGCCCCTTCCTAGAAAAGTTACACAGTACA